CTTTTAAGCCTTAGCTCCTGGAAGCGTCACCTGAAAAAACTTCCTGAAAAAAGCTTGTTATGCAACTTTTTATCACACCCATTAACAGAAAAAGTAGGTATGATTTAAAGATCTCCTGAATATGCAAAATTTCTTTGTTTATTCTTGTAACAGGGTTAGGTTTAAAAGCCTCAGTTACTGAGAGGTGATCAGTTGAGAGCTCTGCCCATATCTTTACCTGAGGCTCTAAGAAATACTGGTAATGGTACAACGCTGGTTTAATCATGACCATGAGCATTTAGAGCCGAAAGGTTGCTATAATCATAAAACCAAGTAGCCACTTTCACTACTTTGGTCGTTCCTTGATGTACAAAAAAACATAAACAAAAAAATAACAAGTAAATCCCTTTATTGTCCCACAAAGGGGACTCTGTTCTCTGCATTTGGACGCATCCCCTTGGGGAGCAGTGGGCTGACATTTTGTGGTGTCCGGGGAGCAATCAAGGGTTAAGGGTTTTGCTCAGGAACCCAGAGTTGAGGCTGTGGGATTCAAACCGGGTACTTGCAACCTTCAAGTGTTGGCCTAAAGGGCCAACTTACCTATTTACATTAATAATTAAGTAAAAATATGTCTGTGCTGTTGCTTTATGGGTATTCTACATCTATAGAAGGACACTTTGATAACCAGGTGATCAAGGCAATCGGAGCAACTTATAAAGGAGGCAAATTGGAAATATTAGTGATATCTGCTGTGGAAAAAAATAAACAATGTAAACCTCACAGGACCATTACTGAACAGATCTAATTGTAAGATTATAATATAATATTGATTGGTGAGCTCATAGGAAACTTGTGTCATTATCAACTCTAGCATTAGTCAACAAAATACGCTAATTGCTAAAATAAACCACATTCATTCAAAAAATTGTATCATAGCTTTCTTACCTTTGAGTTTGGTTGCTCATCAAAGACCAGTTTAAATGTGTCTGCCTGTGTCTGATTGGAAGTGTCTAGACACATATAACCGCATATCCGATAAACTGAATCCCCATAACCCTCTGCTGGAGAGCAAAAAAAAATTTTAGGGAAGGAAAATCAAAAGTCAAAAAGAAGAAATGATTTAGATAAAATGGGATGGTTTTCAAATCTTAACTGAAATGTTTTTAGTTTTCCACCTTTGAGATGATCCTGCATGACTTTCCATCCATGACCGCCAATGTAAACGCAAGGAGGGGGGCAAAAAAACCTGATGGAAAAGTTTACATTTACACATACTGTATATACAGTTGTAATTGAAAGTTTACACACCCTCCTATTAAAGAAAAAGATAAATTCACACTAGTAATTCAAATACCACAAAACTGACAAAAGCAATAATAAATAAAAATGTACCAAACAGATTCAGTAAAATGACATATTGAATAAGAATTGTTATGAGTAAACTATTCGATATTTTCTAAAATGTTTTCTATTTATATAAGACTTTGCATTACAGAGTGGTTTGCAAACGGTGAATAAATATCTTGCCAAAGATGCATCAAACCTTTTCTCGTTGCCATAGGATTTCTGAGCGACTTTAGCATGCAGAATGGTGACGCTCTGGTCTGCATGAGCTTCTTTTGCCTCTCTTGCTCCTCCCAGAAATTGGCAGCCTTGAAAGCCTGGCCGAGTCTCCTAATTAAATCAGAATGCTGTCAGTAAGATACAGCTACTGTATGAACTTCATTTCTATGTATCTATGTATCCTTTTAAGTTTCCTTTTTTACATTTTAGTTTAATATTACATTGCAAATGTAAGTTATAAAACCGAGTTATCTTGATTGGTAACATGGGTCAAAGTACATGTGTTTGAAAAAGCATCTTTTTGTTTTCTTATGTTGAATTTTTCTTGAACAACTTGTTTAAAATGAAGTTCGTTATAAAGTTTGGATTGGAATATTTACTGTATCCGAAAGGTTTTCTCAAACAAGCAGTATTTTTACAGTGAATTATGTTGCAACCTTGTTACCTTTGCAGAGGAGTTTATGCTTTAGGAGAGTTTGTCAAATTTTCTGTCAGTGTACAGTATAAGTTGAAAAGTTATGAAAGTATTTTTAATAATTTTTTATCAGAGGTACGCTTCATGCCAAGGAACAACCCAAATAAATTTTGGTGATGATTCAGATTAAAAACCAGATACAGCATTTTTTTATTTTTTAAGGATTCTTTAACATTGTTAAGATAGTGTTTTAAAGAGGAAACAGGCAGTCCCTCACTAAACCAGAGGGTGGCAGCAGTAACTATTGACAGCCTCAGAATGGACTCCAAAAGTTACGATCCAGACCTGCGAATTTTAGCAATAGGTGTCGGTCACGATATGAGGTAAAATGCTGTGCTAGTTTTAAATGGTTTTGAATAAATCTTTCTTTCTTGAAAATTCCAAATGCTATATCCTCTTATGGCAATGTCAGGGGTGTGAAAAGTATTAATGTTTATTACTCAAGTAGAATTATAAATCATACTGTTTACTTTAGTAGAGTTTAGTGTATCAACTTAAGATTTTTTACTCAAGTAAAAGTGTAAAAGTACAATTTTAAAAACTACTTAAAGTATAAAAGTAAAATGCTATATTTGTTACTTTTGAAGAAACATTTTTCTACAATTCTGGATGATAATTTCCTTATACTCAAGTTTCTTTGTTTTATAACTAATGGTAACAGTGTCAAATTAACTTTGCATCATCCTGAAAATGTGGTGAAATACAAGTGGACAAAGAACACAAGGGGACAAAGAAATTGTCTGGATGAAGCAAATTATTTTGATGTTTTTTGTGTTTTGTTTTTTTAAATACAGGCCATCAGGCCATAACAAAAATTAGCTTAAATAAAACAAAACTAATGAGTCTATTTTAAAATGTAAGGAATACAAAGCAGAGATAACTGCAAAAATTTACGGAGTAGAAGTAAAATGTTGTCTAAAAATAATTACTCCAGTAAAGTACAGGTAGCCACAAATTCTTCTTAAGCAAGGTAAGTATTTGTTCTTTGTCACTTGACACTTCTGGTCAATGTGAAAAAAATGTTTTTGAGACTTTTGCAAATTTATTAACCTAATAAATCACATCAACAAAAGTATTCACTGTGAAGCTCTGGTTTGACCTGAGGTGCATACTGTTTCCACTAATCAAACTTGAGATGATTCTACAGAGAGTAGAGTCCACCTGTTCCAAATTCAGTTGATAAAACATGATTAGGAAAGACACTTATGTCTATATAAAAAAAACAGAATGAGTAACCTAATTTTAGAGACAGCAAAACACTTTAACAAGACTGACTCCAAAGCACTTAATGAGTCCTTCACCCATTGACACCTACATTATCATGCTAATTGGGTTAACCAGCAGCCCTGGGACACACTGAAAAAGAAGGCTACAAATATGGACCCTCTGAGCATCAAACATTGGTGAGGCAGGAAGTGTCTTGGCCAAACCGTGAGATGATGGAGCAGGGTTTTGGACCAGCAACCCATCAGTTTGATGTCAAACACCTACTTCTGTATTTCTGAGTAAACATTTTCTCCCTTTTCTTTTTCATCCTCTCTCATTTGTTATATTTTTAGTCTATCAGATTTGGAGCTCTTGTGAAATAAATGAAAACATCCCCAGAGCAAAAAAAAAAAAAAAAAAAAAAAGTGTTTTAAATTAGTTAAATTTTTTTAACATTGAAAGCATAACACAAACTGTTTTCAAATTTTCACTTGTTCCTTTTTTAAACATAAGCAAAACAGAAATTAGATTAGATGATTAGATTAGGTCAGCTTTATTGATCTCACAGCGGAGAAATTCACTGGTAACATATTGGCATAGTAGTTAAAGAAGGTGCAAACAAGGAGGAAAAGGTGCATTAATTCAATTTAACTTTTGTATGCTCAAACAAAAGTTAGATTGTTTTAACATGCATACTATTATCCCAAGACTGGGCAGTCTTTAAGCAGGATAAAATTAGAGGAAGTAAAAAGATAGGTTTACATTAAAGGTTTACCAAATTAAATAATTTCATGAGTTACAGGTACTCATACATTACTTTAACCCTTTCAGAATTTCCCCATCAGCAACTAATCTAAAGTTTCAGCATAAAAGCTTTTAAAGTCATATTGTAATTATATTCATAGTGTGGAATTTCTGATATTAAACCTGTGCTGAAAAGAGCTTCTTTTGGCATAACTTAAGAGTTTAATGGAAACATTTTAAATATACCAGGAGACAAGTATTTATAGAAGCTGAACGGTCTCATCTAAACTGTCTTTGTGTACTTTAAACTTAAGCTTCACTTTTGTTATATGAATATTAACATGGACATTCACTGAGGGGACTCTGCTTTCTGAGCAGTAGACCAACAGTTTTGCTGATGTTTGAGGATGATCCCAGTGACCTGGTTTAAACACTAATGACTCTGAGTGTGTGTGTGAATGTATTTGTGTGTGGTCAGTCACCAAGGTGACAGTGCACTGTTCAAAGGTCAACGTGCCATAAGTTGTGAGCTCAGACTCTGGTATGTCACATAAGAAACACTGAGGACAAACCAGGTGGGTGGGGGGGTCCACTATCATCATAAAAATCCTTCTTTTGCTGCACTTGTTACCAGGGCCAAACATTTTAGATCAGGTGTCAGGTATTGGTGTCAAGGTAGTAAGCATGCCTTACTGGACAGGTGTTAGGGTTATTAAAATGGATGCATTCCAGTTTGTAAAACAGGAAGAGGGGCCATTCCCCAAAATAAAGTTTGCACAAGAACCAGACCAGCCTGGGTTTACATGCAGTTATATGAAAGGATCATTTTATTCAAAACCGTACCCAAAATACTTTTAGAATATAGGAATTAGAAAACTTGTCATTTATTACTTAGAGTTTGGGAAAAAGGAAATTTTGAAATCATCTTTGTTCACTTCTGTCCCAAACTCTTCTCTGTTCGGATTTCAGAAGCAGGGGGTGCGGTTTCCACCTCCCCTACTAGGCTGCTTTCCCCCTGGCATCCTAATACCTCCACACATCCCCTCAGCTCCTGCATTCCATCAGTGCGTAAATCAGAGGTTAGACCTTTTCACGTCCAAGCGCTCATTCTCTGCGCCAAGGCAACGGTTGATCTGGGATAATCTAAACCCGACCGTCTCTAATCCGGGTTAGTTTTTTTGATATATGCATGTTTGTTTGTGTCTGAGTTGAATAGCTACCTGTCCCATCCTCCGGTCCGCGGTGCGTCGTGTCCGGGCAGCAGCGTCCCCAGGTGAGTCAGCGGGTTAGTCGGGTCGGGAGGGAAGGAGGGGGGCAGAGCGGCGTCTGCATGGGAGAGTCTGCTCTGTTGCATTATTGTTTCTGACAGGAAGATACAGACTGGTGTAAATAAACAGCTTTGGTAAAAAACAAACAAACAAAAAACAACAACAACTGGTAACATCTTCCCTGTGTTTGAATATTATCTACCAGCACGACGCGCTTTTTGCACAAAGTGCCAATCAAACGTTGTTGCGCATCATTAGACAGGAATTCACTTCCCAAAACTACAAATCAATTATTTTAATTTCTTAATTTATTTTTATCAAGCATGCTTCTTCTTTTCATTGTATCTGAATTTTTTCCCACTAACTTGATAGAAAAAAATTAGAATCACAAAGTAAAATAATAAAAATTAATCTTGTTTTATGAATTTCCGCAAATATGCTGCAATAAATCTTAAAGAAATAATGTTACAAAAAGCACTGCAACCCAGCTTTATCTGTTGTTTAAGTATTCCTTTTATGCTTTCTCTCTTACTTAAAATTGCTGATAATTTAAAAAAGTATATAAAAGAAGAGGCATGAAAGTTTCTTTTTTTTATTTTCTGGATGAATGAATGTGAGTGCGTGGGTGTAATGCTGTGGGCTCCCACTGGTTGCCTGGAGGTGACGCTGTGTGCAGACAGTCTGAAACTGGTAGTCAGAGACAGACTGATTATTTAGCTGTCTGAGCAGAAATAAATCAGTTTTTAATCAAAAGGAAACCGAGTCTGCAAAAACAGAGAGATAACAGCAGGGGTCCTGGGGTCCACGATTGCGTCAACTAATCTGGGCAATTGAGGCAGACTGTATTTTTTTGGATTAACTATGAGTTTTCTTTAGGCTCCTAGTGGGAATGAATAATGTGAAGCTTTTCTCTCTCGTTTTACTTACGATTTTATGTCTGAAAGATGTTAAAACATTTTTACTCCCTACTGACAATGTTCATTGAACCTTTACTTGCACAGGTGCACTGTTTAGTTATCAGGAGCTTTCTTTGGACACAAACCTGAAAGGTATTTTATGGTTCTTTCTAATCTTAGCTCTCATTTTGCTTTAGATTTTACACCTTTTTTTATTCAAACAGTACTTTGAAGGAACATTTGTTCATAAACTCACCAAGGCAATAAGCTTTCTGAGAGGTTTAGTTGGTAATAATTACTCAGGATTAAGAACAACACCCCCCTGCCTTAAAGCATTAATGTTAGCCTCTTCCCACCTCCTCCAAAACACACACACAGCTGATCATCAGTGGTTATTTACCCTGGTAAATAAGATAAAAATAGTATTGCAGATAGTTACAATAATAGTAATATTATAACATTGTTAGCTGTTCATGAAGAATATCCTGCTAGAGTCTGAGGTGCATATTCTGTTAGGCTTATTGCCACTAAAATACGTTTATAAATATGTGGATTTAGAGGCAGATTAAAATTGATATAAGTCTTATTCGTGATTCTCAAAAATATTATATTTTAATTGCTAAATAATTGTTTTTTTTTTCTCAGATGGTACAGTTGCTATGAACTACTGCTCATATGATAGTCTGGAATGAGGTAGATTTAAGCACCTCAGCAGGTATTTAGGTGAGATTAATGTGCTGGTAGAAGTCCTGTAAAACAGTTTGGCAGTCAACCAAACTGCTAACAGTAGCAGAGTCAACATCTGCTTCCAATCTGAAGCTGCCAACAAGAAGCACTGTGTTCATCTCTCTATGTGCTCCAGCTGTCACTCAAATCCTAAATCAATCTAAGGATGGTGCAAAGACCCTCAGACTGCCTCTGGTCTTCTCTCATTTATTTTAGTCAGAATATCTTTCTGGGTCACTGGATGGACACAAGGTTGATATCTCTGCTATCTGTTTTTATCTCAGCTCTAATCCAGACTGTAAGTCTTTCAGAGAAACCTATATATGTTAAATATTGAACATATACTTTTCCATCCTCTGTACATGCATTCCACTCTTTTCCACGTTTCACCTTCTTTACTTCTTCCTTTAATTTCCGCTTCACTTAAGAAGGGATCATCTTACATCACGCTCAGTGAGCAAACAAGGGAGAATATTGTCAGAGCTGTGCTTCAGGCGCCAACTTACTAGCTCACACATGATTATGAAGAATAAATACTGTCCTAAAACAATCTTTATAGATTAACCAATAATATCAGCATGATATGGTTTAGATAGTTTTACATCCCAGATTAAATTTAAATATTTTAGTGGGATAAATAGTGTATTCTTTGCTAGGTGTAACCCCTTAATGGGACCAGTAGGTGTCACTTTTGTATTGCAGGGTAAGTACTTTTATTCAGGTGACAGGTAATGGAAGCTGAACCACTGAATATTTTCTTAATGTTTTGATCGGGCGTTTATACCTATGGGACAATACTCCAAGGAATTACATGTGAGAATGTGTTTAAAATGTATATTTATACCAAGTGTAATACAAGCCAGTAAGTTAGGGATGCCTGCTGATTGTGTTTATGGTGATTAATGGTGATGACGTGTGAGTAATGGATAAAAAGCCTATACCCTGATATCAGAAACTGAAATAAGTCACAATGAAAAAAATAATGCACCCGTTTTTGGCATCTACGTAACATACCTGTTTCATGTTAAGTAGGGTAGGACATGAAAAAAAAAATGTTAAAGTAACTAAATATGATTAAGTTGATGCCAAAAACGGATGCATTATTTTTTTTTCAGTGTAACAGAGCCCATCTGCTTGTATTTTAATCGTCAGTCTAAAGCCAGCTGTTCTGTGAACACCTCAGAGATTTGCTGGAGAACATTAGGGAACAGCAGCATCTTAAAGACCAAGGAACACAGATCAGCGATTTAATTGTCGAAGTTTAAAGAATTGTTACTGTAGGTTTTAAAATAATGTGTCAAGGCAAAGAACTGTTCAGCCAATCATCCAGAAATGGAAAGGAAATGACAAATTTAATTCCCAAATATTTGGTCATTTACTTAACACTACAGGTGAAGAAAAAGAGAGCATGAGAAAAGAAACAGCCAAAATTTCGATTATACAACCATTAGGAAAACAATTAGTAACAAATGGTTACTCAATAAATCAGACTGTTATGGAAGCAAGTCACTGTTGAAATATAGTCACTAAATTCCATCTACAGGTTACACAAGCAGCAAATATAAGAAAGAAGCAGCAGGGTGAAGGTGGAGGTGTATATGAAGTATGATGCTGCTGCAGTGTCATGCTGTGGAAATGCTTTTTTTCAGGTCAGGGGGAAGGTCAGAATTAGTGAAATGATCATTATGTTTGCTGTGATGGTAATCAAAGGCACAAACTATCCTCAAATATGTCTGACAATGAGCAAAATAGACATTTACTCACCTTTCCTTTTAACATCTGTAATGTCCACTTTATGCATGGTAGCGTTTGCTTCTTTAGGACTGGGTGCACTTCAGGTTCATGGTTCTCTGCTTTGACAAGGTTGTGTAGAAAAACATCATTTTCAACTGCATGAGACCCCGAGAGGCCCATAAATACCAATACCTAGTTTGCCAGACCAATATATGCTAGGCCAAGTTTTATTCAAGCAGAAGAAGAATGCCTTCTCTGTGAAACTCCAGGTCCAACAGCTATGTAATTGGTTTTAGGCAGCTGTTAACTTAACTTAGCTCCAGGTTCCAGTTTATTAGTCTGTTAAAATCAAATACTTGTTAGATTTTATATCTTACAGAACACATCCTACATGTAACTGTACATAGAAAATAAGAACCCATCATATGGTAATCCAAGCATGTTAAAAAATTAAAATTATTAGCAGTTAGATATAATCAGGCCATTATTCTTACTGTGTGCTGAGCAGGAAAGATGTTCTTAAGCTGCTTTGTTATGATCAAGTCCAAAATCAATGCAGTGACGAACCATCCCCACTGGCTGAACAACCACGTTGGTCAAGTTCAGCTAAATGTCCACCTGTGAGCTGATCAGGTCAACCCTAAAGTTGAGAGTATTTTGTTTCAGTCTGCAGTATGAGGATGTAATCAGAAACATATGTGAGTTTATTTCTGTTTGTTCTACATTATGGGTTTATTATCTGGTTTCCAGTGTGAGGAATGTGTGTGTGTGTTTCAGGCTGTATGCCTAAAAAGATAAACACCTGTTCCTGAACTCCTGCTTTCTCACACACGCCTTTCACTATTACAAACACTTTTCAAGGCTACTTTTTAATATAAAGATAATGTTTATTTTTATACAGTTATTAAGTCAGTCTAATCGATTAATGATGGCTATTTATTTAAGTTACAAGCAATTTATCATCTTAAACCGTGAAAATGCTCTGTGGTTAAAGGTCTTTAAATGGAAAAATAGCAAGTAGCTCTAAATAAAGTGGGTTCTAAAGTTACTTATCTTATCTAAAACTTGTTATAGACTGGCAAATAATAAAGTCAGCACCAAACTAAGCTTTAAGAAAAACTATCTAACATTTGATAAAAGTATCTATATTTGAATAAGTGCATTAATAAAATTATATATATATATATATATATATATATATATATATATATATATAGTTTTACATTTAAATGTGCACTAAATGTCAATGTCAAAGGTGTCTAATGCCTGCTTACATATTTTCAAACTGATCTTTTAATCTACCTAGCTTCTTTGGCTAAGCTGATTAAAAATTACACTGGTTGCCCTGTCCTGTTTAAATTTAGCATTTTTCCTTATGGATTTTAGGACATCATTGAAAATTACATATCTTTGTGGATATGAAAGAACTCTGTCTGCAGCTGATCTTCCATTCTACTTTTATTTACAGAAGGGACTCAGTTGATAAGTAAAGTTTCCACTGCAATGGTAATATCTCCTCAGATTGAACTTAAAGAGGGACATATCCTGCAGTGCCAGCACCTGCAAAAACATTTTTTTGGGGGAGAAAACCCCTATTATATCAGATAGTAACAGTATAAACCAGAAAAAAAGAAGAACAAAAATGCCTA